GAAGCGGATGCGGATATCACCATGCACTTCAAATGCAGGGTAGCCTTCGGACTGCGGAATCGAATGCTCGATCTGCGGCGTGTTGCAAAGCCAGCTGTCGACGGACTTCCACAAGTTCTCGTCCAGGTGGTAAACTATTATTTAAGACGGACATTATGGCGGAGGACGAAGTTGAAGACAACGTGAAGAAACATGAGTTTTCGCGCCATGAGCAGTGAGTGCAGTTTATCGAAAATGGAGGACCTAAAGGAGCTGAAGCAGATGGGTGCTGCCAAGTCAGCGAATCTTGGTTAGATACTCTTTGCAGTTCCAACGCTAGCTTGGGCGTCTGCGCCATATACGCTCTGTTAACTTAACTACATATAGGCGAGTGAGTCTAGGTGCCACACGGGCACTTCTGATAGGTGCAGCCGGAACACCCTCGTGTTGGCTTCTAGCATATCGAAAAGCAGCAATTGTCCCATGGTGTGGAAGGCAGATATAGTAATTTGAGTTCAGCCGGAAAAGCCAAATACCGTTGGACAATGTGATATGAGCTGGAATTCCACGTAGAATCAAGAGGCTTGCTTAGTTTGGTTCATGTGGCATCAGTACAGAAGATTTTATTCGTCAGTTTGTCAGGTGGCTGCATGGTGATACCTTGCCATCACGAACACGATTCATCTGAGAGCGTAAACAGAGTAAACATTGCGCTTTCATCCTCCATCTGACTGTCTGTGGTCAGACCGTTAATTATATTGCTACCACACAATGGCCTTACCTCAGGTGGTGCGTCACAATTAACTCACCATGTGAGGCAGTCATTGTGCCAGAGCTGAAAAGCTGTAGTCGAACTGAATGAGATCTAAATCAATACTAAAAACCACTTGAAGTGGTAGTCCTTCCAGACACTGCTGGATCTCTATGGCAAATAGATTCATTCCGTCGGCAAACGGAGCGGGAGAACATAAAAGACCTCAGTGTTCCGTGGCGTGATTGCGCTGAGCACACTTACATCATGGTTAATTGGGCAATAGCGGGAAACCACATGAGGGATTTCTTGATGATAATGAACCTAAGGTAGAGGAAATCTTTGTTAGAGGACGAGAGGGGTATATGCCAACCTTCTAGATCCTATTCTCACTCCACATACTCTACACCCTATGATGTGACTTGGGATCATGTCTCTCGGGCTGCCTTGAATTGCTTCATTGAGTTTTACGGTCAAAACACCAGGCCGCGAAGATATTCAAAACTCAATCCTAGCCCTCTGATTCTCAAAATACACCAGTCCTGATTAGAAATAGACTTTCAAAGCTTCCTTGAGGCCCACGCCCTCGAAATCGCATTCGAAACTTTCAAAGATGCTTTAACAAATCGGAGTTGGGTTTCGTGCTCTTACGAGTTTATTGGTTCTTATGCTACGAGGTGTGTATATCTTTCCCGTGGCAAACCACATACTAGCTTCCTGTTCAGCCGTCTTATTTGCTTGATAGAAGAAATAAAAGTCCATTGGCTGTCAAACTGAGGTGACGATGTTATGTCCACGGCGTTGGCCTCCCAAAACAGATCGGGCTTGAAGAAGACTCTTGCTGTGAATACTAAAGTGGGAAGTGTTGGATCCATGGATGGTCAAGCCGGCTCCGCCAATTTATCATGGAATAACGTGAGGGAAGCAAGACGTTGACTTGGTGCATTGATATGGTTAGAAAAGTTTGAGTATCGATTACGTATTTCTTCCAAATTCAAACCCCAGTGCTTCAATCGCTGACGATCACGGTTATTCTAGTGACGATGAGCAGAAGGGTTCAAGTGTGAGGACAATCACCTGGGTCCACAGATGTCTGCAGTCTATGGTAATCTTATGCATGAAAGATTGATCCATTAACCCATCGAATCAATGAGTAATTGCTTCCCTTACTCTGGGTAGCTTTGACTGTAAGGACTGTGTACATGGGACACTTAACATTTCCCATCTATAACAATGTTCCTGAGTTGCAATAAGAGCAGAGGCAGAGGGTTTGGATTCCCCTTTGGCCCATTGGGTCTGGAATTATTCGTTCTCTATGTAAGCACCTTCATCTTGGTATACCGTCTCTTCATACACATATGTCACACCAGTCAAACTCATTTGCAGAAAGAAATATGTACTTGGCATTGTGATGTAGCTCGGCTATCTGAATCACTAGACCTTAAAACCCCCTGTTCAAACAACCACCTCTCAACTTGGGATAGTATCGTGAATTTGGACGCTAGGACTTGTCCCTACTCGCTCTGTAGTCATGCTAATGGGTAACTTAACAGAAGTTCTGTCCGTTGCCGTTGAAGGTTCCAGACTGGTAAGCACCGCCAGCGTTACCAAGGCAGTCAGCTATGAATCGTTAGCAACTCTTCTCGTATCGTCTGGCCTTCTTTTTCCAAACTTACCAACAGTGACGAGCTTGAGGTTGTTCTGCTTGGCCCAGTTGATCAACGCAGGAGTGAGAGTCTGCACCGTGCTGGCGTAGGTCTCGTGCATGAGGGGAATGTGACCGTTTCCACCAGCACCAGCCTGCTGGAACTTCTGCAGGCTCTGCTGTGCCGATTGACCATTCCAGTCACCCGAGTCGACATCGTCGGTGATGACCTTGTATCCGAGCTGCTGCATGGTGGGCAGCACGTTACCGCCGGTGGCGAGGTAGGGAGGTCGCATGTAGGCGGGCTTCTTGCCAATGATGTTGACCAAGGCCTGCTCCACCTTCTGCATCTCCTGCTTCAGCTGGTCGGTGCTGAGACTTCCGAAGTTCTGGGGGTGAGTCCAGGTGTGACTGGCGATCTGGTGGCCAGAGTTGTAGGCCTTCTTGATGGCAGCCTGTTGGTTGTAGATGCAGCCGTAGAGCGTGCCGGTCAGGAAGAGGGTGGCCTTGGCACCAGCGTTGTTGAGGATATCGACGAGCTGGCTGGTGTACTGTCCGGGACCGTCATCGTAGGCGAGAGCAAGGACACCGGGTCTGTTGCATTGGCGGATGACAACACCAGCTGCCTGGCGGTTGAAGAGCTCAACGGGGTCCTCAATAGCAGCGCTGGCAACGGTGCCAACGAGGAGGAAAGTGCTAACAGCTGCCTTGAGGAATGACTTCATTGTGGGTGAATATGTACGAAAAGATATATACAAAGTGAAGAAAGAGAAGTGATTGACAAGGCAATATTAATAGTTGGTGCCAAGGAGTGTTTATATAGGGATGATGAACGAGGTATTGTTTCAGCAAACAAATTCTCCAGTTGAGCCGGCCCGAAACTATTCCTCTTGAGATCACAGCATTGCATAGATCAATCAGGCCTTGGACCCCAGTGGGAAGATATCCTGAAACGCTGCTATGTGTTTTCAGGCTAAATTCGCGACCCCCTGTACCCCTAGTAATTAAACCACAAACGGACGGAATAACCCATGATTCGACGGGTGATTTCAGAGGGTCATCGATACAGGGCAGCTGACAACAGCCGGGACCTGATCTGGAACTTCGGCACCAGTGCCACGTGGTTCGACAATGCGGAGACTCAGTGTGACATGTTGCCATTCTGAGGTTCAGCTTTGACTTTATTTGACGATCCGGGCATTGTTCCTCCGGCATTGCAGTGCAAGCGGTTAAACTGGGACCGGTTTCATCCTTCGGAAATGGTTACTCGCTCATGCCGTGGCTCCACAGAGAGATCCACAAGTCGATATCACTAATAAACGGTCAGCTTCCAAGTAAATTGTCAATTAATTCGGCATTGAACTTGACAGGCCTCCTTCATTTTACGTATTTTACCCGGTGGCAAAATGCAAACTAAGCACAGATATTGAACCCCAGATCTAATATAACTCATTCCCCTCATTCTTCTCAGCACCCAACCCTCTTCTGTACCGATATTGCAACCTCGTCAACTTAGCCACGCCATTTATGCCGGGTCGGAAGGATAATCGATCGTGAAGTTGCCGAAAAACCATGCGCATTTCTCGGAATGTCGATACCCGCACGGCTATTCCCAAGCTCTATTCTGTCGTGACCTCATCAAAGCTTGGAACCTGGTCTCCGCACTTTTCGGGCGTAAGGATGTCCTCCAACGCGGACAAGATGATCTACATCGGAAGTGTTTACATAGTCAGGGCTGGCATCTGCCAAGTCCGTCAAGCCGCAAAGACGCATCGCGGTTTCCAACTCGTCTCGTAAAACTTGGATAATGTCAGTATTGGCCAGGCCGAAACAGTGTTTCTTGAACTCCAGGTGATGGTGACTTACTATTGAAGGCGTGCTCGACGCCGTCTTCGCCGTAGCCTACTGAGTAAGCAAATGGTCTTCCAAGCCCAACAGCTGATGCTCCAAGGCAGATCGCTTTGAGTACATCGGAACCTCTTCTAAATCCGCCATCAACTAACACGACGAGCTTGTTGAACACTTCGGGGCAGTTCTTATGAAGCTCCAAGAGTAGCAAAATTGCTGGAGGGGCTGTGTCTGCTGCGCGACCTCCGTGATTGCTGAGGACAATACCTTGTACATCGTGTTGCATAGCCAGTTTAGCATCTTCCCATCTCTGAATTCCCTTGATAACAATTGGGACGTCGACCTGAGCACGGAGCCAAGTGATATCATCCCAGTTCAGAGATGGATCGATGAACGAGCCCGTCTGACGTGCCAGTCCCGATCCTTTCCAATCTTCCCCTGGTCCGGCGTTCTCGCTTTTAACCCTCTCATCAGCTTCTCGCTTGGACACGACGGGTAAATCTGCTGTGACAAAGACTGCCTTGATCTTGCCGGTTTTTGTGACCTTTTTCAGCAGGTCTTCTGACAGTTTTCGGTTCTTGTTCACGTATAACTGGAAAAAGGCGCGTTCCGGCGTGACGTCAAGAACATCTTCATGCGGGAAAGATGAGGGTGTCGCCAGTGTCTGAATGATGCCCGTCTTTGCTGCTCCTTTGGCTAATGCGAGCTCTCCTTGTTCACCACCCGTCAGGGCCGCACCAGTCGGTGAGATATATACCGGCAACTGGAGATTGCACCCAAATAGCTCAGTTGTGGTGTTGACTGTCCGGACGTCTCTCATGACTGCCGGTCGTAGCCAGATCCTTCCGAGGATCGAGGCGTTCGCGTCACGGGTGAGATTATCGTTTGCTCCACCGCTGATGTACGCCCATTCCTTTTTTGCTAATGCTGTTGATGCCACGTTCTCAAAGTCGTGCAAGTTGATTATGTCGCGCAGAGGAGGTCTTTCATTGGGGCCTCTTGTTTTGGTCTTTGCTTGCCCACGGGACTCCGATTCCTTCTTCTTCTTGTTGCTCTTGGACACTTTGAGAGATCCGAGGTGATATTTGGCATCTAGTGCTTTCTGTACTAATGAAGGCGCGTGGAAACTGTTATATTCATCACTCGCATCCTTGCCAGCATACTGGTAGATGACTTTCTCGTGTTAATCAATAAACATGCGATAATGTCAGACAGCTGTTGACAACTCACTCTCGGCACCTCCGGGGTGATCTGGCGCAAAATCCGTGAAGTCATAGACTTTGTCATTAATCGCCAGCCATAGGTCATCCGGTGTATCGTGCACGGCGATATCCTCCTCGGAAAATTCTTTCGACATTGCTTGATTTGAATGGGAATCGATATTACTGCAGTGATTGAAGGGAACGTCCAACTCTGTCACGCAAAAGGTCATCTCAGAATGTATTTAACGTATCGGAATTGCCAATCGCAAACGGAATTCCAAGATCCAAGTGCACGGAAACCATATCTCTGTATTCCGATTGGTGGATCTGGTACACCCCGCCTTGGTTACGGGTTCCATCCGAGGTCAAGTCTGGTCACTATCGGATACTACCCGGTAGCCTCTAGTGATTTCTAATGTATTCCGAATGCTGCAGCCTACCAATATTCTACAAATAAACAGGCACATACTGATATCTCATGTTGACTCTTTTCTATTTGTTGACTTAAGAAATCGTTTAAAGAGATTGGGTTTGATATTTGTTCATTGCATTATTGTACGTTTGTTGTTGTAAACATCACCAGCCACCCAACCATTTCAATATGAAAGATGTTGCTGAACGGATTGGATTCCCTGAAACAGCCACCAAGAAAACAGAGAAAGAACATAACTCCAGCTCATATTAATATCCAGGTCGATAACTCTTGGTAAAGCTCAGCAATAAGCAGATGTCACTGATGCAAGCAATAAACACCTATTCTAGGCTGAAGATAAAAACAGATTATCGGAAAATCTATAGTCCGGACCAGCTTGGCAGTGCTTATCTTAGCATAATTTCTCTTATCCAAAGCGGATCACCAGCCCACCAATTAACTGGGTCATTTCGGTATATGCTAACTCTTTCTGCAATTAATGTCAACTAGCAGAAAATGGTAGCCAGAAGGTGGAAAGCTGAAGTTCCTGAACTGGCATGCAAGACGAGCTAGTCATCAATAGCTTGTGTAGCTATATGTCACTATCTGGATTAGTTAAACGCCCAAACAGATCGAGACCAAAGCCACGAGAAATCATGAGCCCACATGTCTGACTTGAGTTAATAACAATGCCCAACGGTAGTTCGTATAAAGACGGTGTGGTCTACAAAAGTGTTTAGAGTTCTATTTTACGTCCCGTCCTAAATTAGAGACTGTGACAAAATATAGCCCGAAATCTGAATCCTCGATCCGTCATCATGGTCAAAATACAATTTCTCTACTCATTGGCAGTTGCTGCCTCAGCTCTGGCTGCACCTTCCGGGGTCTTCAGCTCACTCTCTTCGTCTCTCGATAAGCGAGCTTGCACCAATCCTTCAAACATGCTCCAGAACGCCGGCTTCGAGTCAAAATCTATTAGTAAGTCTAGTCGACAACCAGCAACATAATTCTCAAACTCTTCCATTACTACTAAATGAATTCACTTGCCCATGAATAACCCACTAACATGAGCCAGAACCATGGGTCTATGCTCCGTACTATCCGAAGCTTACCAGTCAGAAGCTCGTGACTTCTGGCTACAAGAGCGACCAGGCTCTCCAGATATCTGGTTTTGCCACGACACAGAATGAATATGGCTACAGCACACTTAAACAGAACTTCACCAACTGCAAGTTTGGAAAGTACCAGCTGTCATGGTCCATGTACCTCCCCAAGGGTGCAGCTCAAGGGTTGGACCCCCGTACACCTGGTATGAATATCTGGGTCTACGATCCCGCGGGCCAGGGCCAAGTGGGAACACTCTCCTTCGGACCCAATTCTTTCAACACTTCACTTGGGTATCCCGTGCAGCGAGGAACACACAAGGTGAATCAGTGGGTGAACCTCTCGATGAAACTGCCCTATAACATCAATGTTGGCAAATGTACCTTGGTCATCAATTGGTTTGTTCCAGGTCAAGAGACGGGCAAAGGAGACGGGAAGCTGACACTGAAGCTCGACAACTTTGTTCTAAAGCCTGCGAAATAGAGTAGCTGGCGTTGTGGTGTCGGATGAGTTCGTCCAAGGGGGCATATATACACTTGGCCTTTCCCTCTGGGTTCCGCAACAAACAAGAACGCTGTACAGATACAGCTGTTTGTGATCTGAGGAAAGGGGATAAGGTTCCTCAGGGATGATCTTAATTATTAGGAGAGCCAAGGTTATAAATTTCTGTCGTCAAGATCTATTTAACTTTCTATATCAATATGCGTATGCTACGCTGCAGCTGCAGCTATAAGTGCTGCACCAGTCCCAGAACCGTCTCTTGTAAGCTCTATTTTTATCCTTGCTTCGTTGGCCTTCCCAATTGCTTCAACGTCATGCAGAGCAGTACGCATAAAGCTCTCGAAAGCAGTATGGAACTCAAAAAGTGAGCCATCGACCGCGATATCAACCACCTCATCTGCCAGTTCTGAAGACTCGAGGGTGTCTTTGGAGTCATATGACGATCCGCTTGTCGAAATGGGTGATGGCTCTTCTGAGCGTATGCAGCCAAACATGCGCCGTATAAATCGAGTCAAGGTGTTCCGCCGGCTGCCGATCTGCGTTGATGTCGACTTGTCGTGTATTTGATGTGTATGAGCTCCCAGGCCCGTCTTCTGAGACATACCGGAAGTATCAAGCCTGCCAGACTGTATGAGAATTGCAGAAAGACCAGCGCCCACAAATCGAGCAGATCGTTTCACGATAACAGTAGCCAGCATCTGGATAGTTCGCAAGTCCCTCGATGTCACACCTGTTGCTACTAGCGTGTCGGTGATACAGGACAAAGCTGACAGCGAATTCTCTGGTTTTGACTCTGCAATCTTGGACAAGAATGCGCTTTCAATACCCATATGTATGTAAACGGGGCTTCCATCCGGAAATGACATGTCTAATGCACCGTGGCGCATCAGGTCCAAGAGTGACAAGCGCAGTAGCTCCCCAAGATACATGCCGGAGACCATCTTCTCAAGAAGACCACATCCAGGATCTGAAGAAGACTCATCGACGAGTTTGTCGAACCGTGTTTGAGGAAGAACTTTCAGCCCGTCGTCCCATGATCCCCATTCCGTGTTGATTACCATGAACCCGTCACTATTCGAGTGGTGTGCGCGATCGGCCGTTGTATCGAGTCTCTGGATGTTTGACATGCGCTCAATATACGCAGCATTTGTGCCGGTCCCAAGGATTATAGATGCCAAGGTAGAGTTCTTTGTTTTCGAGGTATATGCTCTAGTAAGCAGCGTTCCGACTGCATCGTTGGCCAAAACGCGAACTCGCACTGGCAATGAGATCTCATCAATCGCTTCCTGTAGTAATGCGCAAGGATCTTGACCCAGGGTGCTTGGGATATCCCATCCTTTGTCCCAGTGAACGAGGGTGCCGCTAGAAATGGATGTCTGTTCACAAGTGAAGCTGAATGTGAAGCCAAGATTGAAGCATGCCTCGGAACTGTCACTACTCCCACTACTCTTATGCTCACGAAGAAGGTCTTGGATCTTCAAGGCGATGAAATGGAATAGAGGTTTATGACTTGAATGCACTCGAATATCATGAGGGACAAGGTGCTTCCTCTGAAACACATCGAAAGTCGAGTCGCCACGAAGCGTAACAGCACAAACTCGACAATTTGTACCGCCCAAGTCGACTGCAAGAAAAAGGCCCTTCTCTCGGCCACTGGGGATTTGTGTGACAAAAGAGGGTATCTGATAAGCATGCTTGTCTTTCAAACCATGTTCTGATAGGTTGGGTCAGTAGATACACACGAGATAGCAAGACACAATACATACTTATCTGCTTAACAAAGTAATTCGTTATCTCCTGTATTTTCTCGCTCCCAACCTCGAACTCTTGGGCAACCGATTGAACAGTTGCCTGCTGGCTGTCCCCTAAGCCATCCTCCAACATGGCAAAGCAAGACAGGCAAAAGAATACGTAAAGATGGAAACAATGAGTACGGTACGCATTGTAGAGGCAAGGTCAAGGACTAATACCAAAACTGTTAATAATTCCGCAGTCTGCTCAATCCGCATGGACCAGAATGGTGCAATCCCATCGCCAGGCTTCGCGGCAAAGTCCGGCCCGGTAGCGGCCAACGCCGGATTGAGGAGCCACATTGGTACTAGACCAGGGGTGACTAGCTTGATAAGACACCAGGGAAATATCGGTCACTTCGCCGCTCTCTCCTCCCCGCACATTTCATGCTTCATCCACTTTGCATATGCACATCCACTGAGCAGAGCAGACATTCACGTCCACTCTGACACTCGACCATGACATTCGGCGAAGATTCCCGTCCTCTGGACCGCGACGCCCCAGATGAGGCTTCAGCACTCAAGGCCCGCAAAGCATGCAGTGGGTACCCCCCTGTCTCTGGACCTATTGGGCACCAGATGATCCCAAGACATCGAATGCTGATTAAGCTGCCAAGTAAACTGCCGGAAGCAAAAGATGAAATGCGTCCTCCAGGGTAGCAGTGAAGCATGTCGTCGATGTCGCCGAGCAGGACTTCCTTGTGTGTTTGTGCCCAGAGCGAATGCAGCTCAGTTACCCTCGCTCTCAGGAACTCTGGATCTAGATTTCAAGAACAACGTCCTATCTAGGTTAAAGGTTGTCGAGGAAAGACTATCCATTGTAGCTGATGGTGATATGGATTTTGGTGCTGTGGGAATGTTCTCTGCTGTTTCCGAGCAGTCACCAGAGCCAACCCCCGACGGACCACTCTGGAATGCGATTGTACTCCTACAGAGGTGCTCCCCAGCCGTGCCACCATCGATTTGGCAACGTGATACTATTGAGTCGCTCTGGTCCTCGTACGTTTCCTCTCTTTCCATTGTAAAAGTCATTAGTAACGTGTATTTGTTCCAGCTTTCATGACAGGATGCCAGGGCTGCATTTCATGCCCGACAAGCAAACATTTTCGACGCCGCAGCCAATCCTACTTGCATCCATTCTCTATTGTTCAAGCAGTCGTGGGCCACCGGACGTGTTAGAAATTGCTCCCCAATTCTTCACCGTTTTATGCAACGCCATCGCTCAACTGAGCATACCCAGCAGTGAGATTGGGACACCTCGAGAGTCAACTGTCTCCCAAGAGGAGTGGGCTTTCCAGACTGTCCTTGGTATAGTCCTTGCTGGTTTGCTGACAGAGGGTAATATAAAGGAAACTGGAAACTGGATTGCCATTGGCTACCGGCTGATGCTGGACTATTGCCCTGCTCACGTTGATGACACGTCAAGAGAATGGCGCAAACTATTCAGCGGCATTCAGATCGTTGACTTGGAGCACTCATCGATTTATCTGTCCTGTCCAGTGATTCCCATTGAAGCGCCACTTCCAATTCTACGCATGTCACCGCTGGATCAGTTATATAAGCTTTCCCGTATGATGCATACCGGGTTGAGTCACTTTACTGGGCGAAGATTACCAACTATCTGGTCCTGCTTCCAGGAATCTAGCCTGAGCTACCATGGCTCAGCCACGAGTTTCACTGCCATCGATGGAATACTCATTAAGGATTGGGCAAAGCAACTAGATGACTGGCTTCAGGAATTTAAGGGGAAAATGACAGAACCTGATGACCAAAGCAGCAAGTTAGTTCTCCGTCAGTATGTCCTTCATCGATTACTTGTGCTATCAATTTATCATCCTGCTCGGAGCGGCAATCTTTGGGCACATAGCATAACGTCAAATGAGCAGGAAGAGCTACTCCTGTCAGCGAGGGCGACTCTAAAGCTTCACCAGCATGATGACTCCATCTGGGCTAACTGGGACCTGATCATGATAACGTGGGCGGCATTGATCGTTCTGCAAGGATTACAAGGGGGAGTGGGAGAGATAGATGGTAAGCATTATCGTATATGTTCGGTTCAAGCGCTAACCGTTTTCTAGACATGAGAAACATCAGGTTGCACCTTGATATTCTAAAACAAAAGAACGAACCCAAGCCAAGTCTATGCGACAAGCTTATTGCACGACTAGAGGACAGCCTCCAAGATACCAGCACGCCCGATTTTACTTACGTGCAGCCAGGCCATCCAACAGTCATGGACCCCACATTTGATTACTCTTGGCAATTATTCGATCAAGTAAATTTGCAGCAGATACAATTTCCTGGATAAATAAAACTACCAATCTACTTAGAAAACTTGACCTCACATTCCAACAGGGAACGTCACAGACCGAACCCTCATCGTGGGCGCTATACGTGATGCCATGTTATCAGGCTTCAGGTCACCGTCTTCGTCCCCGTCAGCTGTCAGTGTGGGTGATGGAGGAAGGTGACCCGAGACCTCCCTCTGCCTGATAGTCTTTTCAACTCCGTGAAAATACTGTATTCGTCAGTCTTGTTGATGGAGACAACTTGGGTTGGGTACTTACGTTCACTGTCTTTACCTTCAACTCGAGGGTAGCATCTCTGTCCACCACCACCATGCTCTTTGGATGTAACTGAAGGCACGAGAGTGTGCAAAGATGGCTGACTCCACCCTCTACCGCTTGCTGAATAGCAATTGCTTTCGAGGCACCAGTGGCAATGATGACAACTTCTCGTGCATCCATGACAGTCTGCACTCCAACAGTCAAGGCCATGTCAGGAACTGCTTCGATATCATTGTCAAAGAATCTTGCATTCGCAATCCGGGTCTCATACGCAAGAGACTTGATTCGAGTTCGGCTGACAAGACTGGAGCCTGGTTCATTGAAAGCAATATGGCCGTCTGTTCCTATACCTCCAAGGAAGAGCTCGATGCCACCGAATGACTTGATCTTATCCTCATAAGCCAAGCACTCGGCGAAGAGGTCAGGGGCATTCCCATTGAGCAAGTGAATATTCTCTGGTTGGATATCGATGTGTTTGAAGAGATTGTGGTGCATGAAAGAGTAGTATGACTCGGGATGCTCGCGGGGTAGGCCGACGTATTCGTCCATATTAAATGTCACGACATGCTGGAAGGATATCTTGGAAGCTTTGTATGCTTTGATCAAGTCATTGTATATATGGAGAGGGCTGCTTCCGGTAGGAAGGCCGAGGACGAATGGCTTTTCGGATGTAGGATTGAAAGCTCGAATGCGGTCTGAAACATTGCAGTATCAGCATATCTTGCTTAATCTAGACTGGAGACTTATATAAGCAGGCAAGGCTTACTGATAATGTAGTCAGAGATGTATTGAGATGCCTCTCGGGGGCCTTCGCGTATTACGAGACGCATCTTGGGTTTAAAATGTGGATAGGTATTTGAACAATAGTATGTGATGGATAATGTTAGCTTGCACACAGTCTACATTTCAATTCATAATCAACTGGTAATTATAACTTATACACTTCTCCTCCATCACTTGCTAAACTATCTATTGTGTCATTGGAGTATGATTAGAAGCAAGGGAGAAGCCCGAACTTTGCCGGTGCGGAAACTGAGTCAAACAGAGTTTCATGGCAGTCACTGGTCCGGGATACTACGGCCATTCTGCGGTTCCGGTCCCTTGGGTACGGGACACTAACAACTTCAAGTTAGCTCCTTATCGGCAAATGATAAAATGCGGCGAACCACCAAACGCCACAAAAAGAACCCCCCTTGAGTACATGAGTCGCGAACCGAACCAGATGAACTCTAAATTTCCGAACTCCTCTTTATTGACACATGCTATGTTACACTACTAATAATCTGACAGAAACATAATAACCCCATTACTCAGTGTTGCATCCCGCCCCTTGTCATTCTAGCATGTATAAGTCATGTCCAAAGTGACGCTAGGAGTACCCTTGAATCCCTCAGGCACCGCGTACGAGATGTTGTAGATCCAGTGATCCCTCAGTGTAGCTCCATAAACAACATCCTGCTTTACCAATCCTGGTGCAGTGACGTTCACATCAAGGCATGGCAACTTCTCAAGGCCCTTGACAACGTTCTTGCCGCCAAGAGTCCAAGAAGGAGGAATACCAGTAAGAGCAAAAGTGAAGATGTTTGTTCCATCCTGAGTAGTGTTGGGATAAGACACTGTCAACTTGTTTGCTTCGGCCTTTGCGTTCAAGGTTGAGGCGCTGGGGTACAGCGAGAAGAAGCCCATGTACGGGTAAGGCTTGTGCGAAGGATCGGAGGCCCACTGCACGATGGCTGGGACATACTGGTTGCCTCTGTTCTTGGTCTCGTTGACGGTCTGGCCGCCAATCATGAGCTCAGCACTGAGCCAAGAGGTAACGTGGCGGGGGTTGTTCGAGTCAAGCTCCTCGTAGATGGTCTTCTTGATGAACCGTGTACCCTTCCACTTGCCCTTGGACTTGATGATGGCCTGAGCGTCCTTGGAGATTGTGGGCGCGATGACATCCATGACAAGTGCAAGCGCAGCACCTTGTGCGATATCGTAGAGGAGATCGCCTTCTCCGAGAGGAGGCTGGCCTCCAACACCGCGTCCATAAACACCCCAGAGAACCATGGAAAGAATCTGAGAATGAGTGGTGGCATCACGACTGTAGGCACGATCGTATGGTCCGACCATGTTACCCAGATAAGGGTTGTAGTGAGCAGCAATGTCCTTCCACAACTCTTGCAGGATGTAAACTGAGTTCTTGGTCATGGGAGCATCCTTGGGGCCATATGCAATGTTTGCCGCAAGGGCCCAAATGTCAATACCGTAGTAGTTGGGTGCATTGTACTCAGACAAGGCATTCTGGCCGCCTCGCTTGAAAAGCTTCAGGAGATCATTGCCCTGCTCCTTGGCAAAGTTGATGAGGACTTTGTTGTTCTTGCGCTTTCCGACCCAACCAGTGGTGAGAGCTCGCATGATGCCCGGGTTGGAGTAACCAAGAATCAGGTTGTCGTCCAAAGGGAAAGATCCGTTGCGACGCATTCCTCCAATTGCAGCAGCCTCAAGAGCATCTTCGATGCGAGATTCAAGGCCAGCTGGCAAAAGGTGGCCAAATTCCTCGACAACTTGGATAAGCTGGGTACTGGCAAAAAGGTTAGCATAAAAATTCATCACTGACAAGGAATTGCTGTGACTTACCCGACAAATTCTCTCCAGTTGGGATCATAACTACCATAAATAGTAGGAGGGTAGAGAGGCCCATTAGGGGTAGGGTCAGGCTCATCCGGTGAGAGCTTGAAAGTACCATACCAAGCCGAGTTGAAGTCGCTGTTCAGCTGGTTCGCCAAGCTGGTATCGAAGTCAGTCAAGTGATTTTGTTGAGGCTGGTGAGAATCTGACTTACACATTTTCGATGGCCTTGACAGCAGTCTTGACATCATCGCCCTTGGCGCGATGCAGCAGTCCTGGAATGTGCCAGGCCGTAAAGCGGACAGACCATTGGCCATTGTCCTGGTACCAGACATAACCATAGCTTGAGTCATAACGGGAATCCGATACCTGCATAGAGTAATCGAACAGGCTCTGTGCAGCTGTAGGATTTGTCAACACAAGTTGCACGAAGTATAACGGTGACACAAACCTGGTGTAAGCTTCTGGCTATTGCTGTTGCGCTTGGCCAGGCTCGCTGCAGACGCCGCAGAGCCAAAGGCCAAGAAAGTGGTAGCGAGTGAAAGAAGACCCATATTGAATGTCTCAGGTTGAAGTGATACGGCAACAACAAACAACGGACCTGTAACCCGAAAGACAGAGAAATGAGTGGACAATCAGCCCCTCTTAACATGACTCCTGATCAACAGCGTCTTTCCCCAGATCGTTTCCAGACCCTTGGGATGGGATGGGCAAAACCGGCGAATGACACCGGCGATTTTGACCCTCTTGGGAACTTCTCCGCATTCTGACCCTGCCATTCATCGTCTAGACTAGATAAATCAGGCTAGGAAACAGCTGATGAACGGTCACTCCACACTTGATAGCGGCCCCAGCTTTTGATGGGGCTGCAAAAGTTCATGCAGGCTCAACAATCTCTGTCTCTGAGTGGATAAACACGGAATTGATGCGCAATTGTTCCGTTCATTTGTGTTGTACTTGTTTCTTGAAGAGATGATTCTTTTGTACTGCAGTAGCTAAGAGTTTATGTCTATGCCCGCTTATCAATGAATGAGGTCTGACTACTATAATGACTCGGGTCCAATTGCTTGAGTACACAAAGCCCAAACTCTAACTTCGTTACCCGACACGAGGGACTTATTTTCGCATGGAATTTCGGCTCCGGGTGCCTGGTTGGACCCTGATCAGATGATAGCACTAACCTCGCAGGCTAGAAAACGGCTCGAGATTGGCTCCGGCAAAGTTCGGTGGACTCTCCGATGCTAATCACTTCCATCCTTGTCTATCATGGTCGCGTGCACTCTGGGGACTAAGCTAGCTCGCCCCCATGGGGGTCCGATAATAGTAACGTCGCGGGGAACACCGGCCCACAAGAGATACGGTATCGGGCTCAGATGGTAGATAATGCTACCTTGCCTCCCCTCTCTCATTCTGCACGTCTCCAGCTAAACCTCGTCTCATCATCGCATCACAATGGTTCAAGCACAGGCTTCACTTGCCCTCGACGACCAATTGGCCGCTGGCTGGTTTGGCTGGCTGACCAACAAGGGCATCCTCAAACTCAATGCGATTCTCTGTCTTTCGCTCATCTCCAGTTATGCCACTGGTTATGATGGAAGTAAGTGCTCGACCAATTAATTGGTGTCAATTTCCCTACTAACCACTTGAATAGGTATGATGAATGGATTGCAGAGCTTGGATACGTGGAAGGCATCCTTCAACAATCCCGATGCCAATAAACTCGCCATGTAAGTCTTGACCGTTGAGGCTTAAATCTTGGCACCTTGTCAAGTCTCTTGGCTCCATAACTAACCTAACCCACTTCAGCTTGAATGCAATTCAGAACATTGGTCAACTCGCAGCTTTGCCATTCTGTGCCTGGTTCTGCGATAAATATGGTCGTCGCCCTGGCCTTGTTGTTGGAGCGACTATCATGCTTCTCGGTGTTGGTCTTCAAGGTGGAGCCCAGAATACAGGCATGTTTATTGCTGCTAGAGGTATTCTCGGTTTTGGCTTGGCCTTGAACATTACAGCTGCGCCTGTTCTGATTATGGAGTTGGCGTATCCCACTCAACGAGCGCCCATGGTTTCTATCTACAACACTCTTTGGGGTCTTGGCGCCCTCTCTGCAGCTTGGATCACTTACGGGACCTTCAGAATCAACAGCGACTGGGCTTGGCGTATTCCTTCCATCCTTCAAGCACTGTCCAGTCTTCTCCAGCTTGGTCTATGCTTCCTCATCGACGAGTCTCCTCGATGGCTGGTAGCTCAAGAGCGCGAGCCCGAGGCCGAGAAGCTTCTTGTCAAGTATCACGCCAACGGAGACAGCAGCAATCCCGCAGTGGCTGTCGAGATGGAGGAGATCCGAACTGCCATTCGCTTGGAGAATGACGCTATGAGCTCCACCAGCTACCTTTCTTTCTTCAAGACCAAGGGTAATCGCCATCGTTTCTTCATCATTCTCGCAGTCGGCTTTTTTAGTCAATGGAGTGGCAATGGCCTCATCAGCTACTACTTGACCTTGATTCTCAACTCAATCGGCTACCGATCTCAGGAGACACAAACACTCATCAATGCGTTACTGACCGTCTGGGGATTGTTCTGGGGTGTTGTGTTCTCCCTTCTTGTCAACCGCATTCCCCGCCGAGCCTTGTTCCTTTTCTCGACTCTCGGTTCCTTGGCAACCTACGTTGTCTGGACAGCTCTCGAGGCGACCTACGAGATGTCAACCGACCTCAATGAAGATGGAACTGGAGGCCCAAGTGGCATCGCCAAGGGTGTTCTTGCCATGATCTTCCTCTTCAATGTCTTCTTCACCGCGGGTTGGGGTGTTCTCCAAGTCACTTATGTTGTTGAAATCCTTCCTTTCAACCTTCGTGCAAGAGGCCTTGTCTTGTACAACCTGTTCGTGGCCTGCGCTCTGATCTTCAACCAATACGCCAACCCGATTGGTGTCACGAACTCGGGCTGGAAGTACTACATTACTTACGATGTCTGGTTGGCTGTAGAGGCTCTTGTCGTCTACTTCCTGTTTGTTGAAACACGTGGTTTGAGCCTGGAGGAGACAGCATTAGTGCTTGATGGTCCCGAGATGGGAGACAGACTTGTCGGAGAGGTTTTGAAGAACACGGAGAAAACTGTCCAGGTTATTGAGACTGAGAAGCGAGGATCCATATAAGAAGATTGGGGTAATTAATTGACTCTTTGGTATTAAACAATGATCATTCTGTTGATTGATGGTCAAAGCTTGTGATATTTCACCGAGGTATGTCAAACCAGTGCACTGAAAATCCCAATCAACTCAAGCTTTTGGAAAGCGATATGCACATTCTGTATTCAGCTTCGTAAAGCTGATTCAATGTTAACGTAGCTATTTGTAACTCGGCTGACTGCTGGTACTTCTATCACACGCAAATTTAGGCGCGTGCGAATGTATCTCGAGTAGTGCTCGGTTCGATAGGTCCTACACCCCTGTCGTGACCCCGTTGATACCTTATGCCGCTCAAAGAGATAAGATACTCAGCAAGCCTTATCGTAAGTGCAGCCAATGTCAGCATAAGATTCACAGGAGCACTAAGAGGGAAGACCGAGAGATCGCAGACGTAGAGTTTTCAAGTTTTTTAGATTGGGGCTTATCAACCACGACAGATTTATTCTTCTCTGGATCCATCTTAGGCATACGCATAGTGCCAACCTTATGCACTATAACCCCAAAAACAGCCAATTTGAGACGTAGAGCATCTTGAACTATATCAGGCAACATAAGGCCATTAAATAAAAAATCCTTTCTTATAGGAATAACCAGCTTTTGCATCTTCTCTTGCAATGGCTCTGCTACATATTACCAAATATTCCTTCATGCTTAATCCTTATAACGGGCTGAAAGGTTAGCGTTACCTGTACTGCATTTTTATCCGGCAAGCCAGCTAGATACTTAAGGTTATTATTAAGAGTATCACAACCACCTGGTTCGATGTCTAAACACAGTAATTATTGCCCTTCAGAGTTGAAGTTTTACGTATTTTCTAATAGCACCTTGCGACCCAGGAATGCATCTGCATTGGGGCATATATTCTGAAGTGCAGGTTGATTCTTGACCGTGATCATCCTCTGCAACTTCGTCGGAGCATTACCGCTCAACTTTGATTCTCATGGTCCTTGGGACGGTAAAAGCGCGAACAGACTGTCCATTGGTTCAGCCATGCATTTGATCAGGTCCACTTTGCCAAGTGTTCGAATTTCTCGAGTTTCGACGGTAGATCCTCAGCCAATATCTCTACCTCCGTCGTGGCCCATGTTGCCCATATTATTCAGCGGCCTAACCCTGCACGCTGATGTAGTCAACGTGGTGGTTCTCGTGACCACTCAGCTGGTGGTATGGATTTCTAAGCGTCTTAAATTGGCAGCTTCCAGCTTGAAGCCACAAAGCTTGCGATACTTCTCGGTTTAGAGGCCAGGCACACCAGTAGGCCACTTTAGTGTTTGCTATCAAAGCAGGAGGCTAAAAAAAGTCAATAAGCTCTTACTCTTACAAATGTCATAACTTTTTTCACTTTTTCTATTTAAAGAAGAGAAAACAGATACTTAATTATAACCCTAAACATGTGAAATCGGTTTGCATGGCGCCCGCAGTAACCTTAACGTAAATGTTTAAACTAAATTATTCTCACTGACCGCCTTACGCAATAGTACAGAAATTCTCAAAATAGGCTCAATAAGCATTATGCAAGTTTAAAACTATGTCGATAACGTCTATAAACATCCCCTCTATCACATGCTAAGCCTTACAATGGTATAAAAAAGCTGTCCATCCTCCCACGGGGAACAAGCATGTGATGGGGGTTATAACGCCTTTATGATAATGTGTGGTTACAAAGTCCCCAGGGCGCTGTTGGCACCATGTCACTCTTTAGTCACCGCTGCTCGACTTTGCTAAGCCTTAACAACCTGAAGCAATCTATCCCGCTTATTTCTTTTCGCTTAGAATTGGTCCCCTAGGTATAATTCGCAGCCGATTCAGACAGAAACGGCCATAAGTGTATGTATGTAGTGGAGACTGACCCGAAATACGAGCTTGACAAGGTGCAATTAGTCTTCGGCCACACGCCGCAACCCAACCTCAGCTGTGGCGCCTAATCAAACAATGTGATTGTCCGAAAACAGGCGCGCGTATTGGTACAGAGCTTCAATGTCTGGCCGCTCGCATATAGAGATGGAAGCTGGGGAAAACAGAGCCGGGTTGAAAGGGACAGCTGGCCAGGTTCCCAGATGTGGCGAAGTAGCCCGTATCCATGCCAACATACTCTTGGTGCTGGGGCATATTTCAGTGTTTTCATACATTACGCCGCCCACGGTGGGGAAAAGTCTATAAAACGCCCCTGTTCCTCTGCTCCTATGCGCTCCTATGCGCTCCTATATATTAAAACTATAGTAAGGCGGATAATAAGTACAGCTCCCCTAAAGCTCATAAAAATGATTAAACCACCCCGCTATCCCTTCTGTTGCTAGTAAAGTAAGTTAATTGTAAATAATATATGACGCGCCTCTTACAGCATAGAACTAGAGGGCTTCGTATTAACTGACAGGAGGCGTAAAAACTTCGCCGATGATTAAACCATGAGGCTGTGGCTTAAGTTTATTCCGAGTTAATATGCCTCGCCCATTCTAATTAATTATGTCCTTGCTAATTATGGTAGATATTCCCTTAGCTATGTGAATTAAGTCTCTCTCCTATAGAACCCACCTAACAAATACTAGTTAAAGCGTTAGGTTAGTTATTAGACTTTAAATTATGAATTTTGAAACCTTAAGCTGCATGGTCGGTAACTCCCGCACCTGGTGGCGGCGCATCATCCTCACCAATTTCTCGATAAAAGGTCAGAACTAGGACCAGGATGCTGAGATGAAAATTTTATAGCTCAACATTTGAAATTCTTTCTCTTCACGGCCCTCGAAAGAGTCGTCCCAGATCTTTTCGATTCTCAGCTAAATCATTATCATTCTACGACTCGCAGTTTGCTATCAGTCTTACAGTCATGGCTGCTTTTTGGGAGCAAATCCCTTTCATCGGGCATCCACTAGGCAAATTCGCGAATGGTATCGAAAACAAAGTATTTGGGGGCGCGGGACTGGCTGGAGGAGCCCTGAATACTGTGGCTGACTTCACAGTGGGGAAGGAAAGGAAGGAAAGGATTCTGACTGAAGTTCCAACATGGTGCGTGGAGACTTTCGGTGACCAAAATAAGATCGTCCAGAGCGCCAATGAAATAATCCGAAATGCTGACGATACTCCATTGGCTGAGTTGGTTGGAGAAGTCTTGCGACGATTCCCGGCCCTAATCGATACTCTATCGGTTCTGGAGGCAGCCTCGAGAGTCATATCGAAGATATTACCCGAGATCAAGCGACCAGCGACGAAACAAGTTGACGAAGTCATACAAGGCTCACTGAAGCTCATTAGCTCCGCAGCGGACCTGGTTAGGCCCGAATTGCTTCTGGAAACGCTAGTGAAGGTTGCACGGACAGTCCTGGCTGCGGTGCTCGCCAAGGTGGGACAAGTTAGGATTATCCAGGGCGGTATATTCAGCAACGATATCAATGCCGCAACGCTTGGACTTGTATGGAGCAATGTTGGCGAGCTTGCGAGCTTTTTTGTTGATCTGGCTGAATGCGCAAAGTGCTATGCTTCAGCAAGCTCACTGGATGGAAAAGATGGACGAAACAGTCCACATGGGCAAGACAACGAATTTGACGTCTCGCAGGCCATGAATCGGCATGCTATAATATGTCAGGTCCAGAGACTGGCTAAATCCACAATCTTCATCCTCAAGAGGATGGCGGTTCCGACCAGGTTCATCGATATCGACATGACCCGTGAAACCACATTGAAGAGCGACGACCATGACTCAGGGACGGTCCTTGAAGTCAGACCATCAGGGTGGCAACGAGTAGTAAACCCAGCAGCCGCAAGCTTATGGGTACGAATACCAACACCACTAGGGGCAGAGCTGGAGCAACCGTTGCTAGGAGAACAACCAGAGGAAACGCCAGATGAGAAACCGAAGGTCACAAACGAGAAATGGTTGTTCGTCAATGGCATCGCTACTGAGCTCTTCTGGCTGCACCTCGCTTGCAAGAAACTGGCGAAATGGTACTCAAGGGAGATAACGGGCGTTTACAACAGGGGAGATGGTATTTTATGGGACTTGATCGAATGTGCCGGCGAAAGGGACGCCCAAGGCAGGGGCCGTGCAGAGAGCCAGAAAGAGCTTATTCAAAGAACAAGGAGTAGCATGGACGCACAAAGGAAGTTGGAGAAGCAGCTACGAGCCGCACTGGGGCAAACAGGGGAGGGAAAGAAATATGCACATGTTGTGGTGATTGCCCACTCTCAGGGCTGTCTCCTCCTCCGCCTTGCATTAGAAGAATTAGTCACTGCAGACCTTCCTGATATGGACAACTTTCGGAAGACAATGCTGGATCGACTTTGCGTCTTCACATTTGGGAATCCGAGCGTGGACTGGAAGTTGAAGAGAGACAGCATAATGAACATTCAGCCCCTGAGGAATAGCGAGCAGGAGTTGAAGGACCTAGACCTCACACTCCTTAGCTCACACGTTCTTCGCACTGAGCATTTTGCCAACAAGGTCGACTTTGTTGCGAAACTTGGAGTCATCAGCGAACACAAACAGGCGGATAGCGGCTATGCGCAGGAATGTGTCTTTGTCAACAGAGAGGAGGACTGGATCGGCCATCTCTTCGGTACACAGTACAGCCTTGACTATAGTCACTACAGAGGCGAGCACGCGGACAATAACGACGAAGTGACGGGCGACAGGTCATGGTTGCTGGCTTGTAGGGATGGAGTTTCGGTTAAAAATGCAGGAGGTGAGTTTGCCTAAATCTTTGCTTTAAAGCCCTACTACTTATTATAATAGTTAATTAGCTAACTTACCTTTTTATAATATAGGAGTTTAGTATAGTGTTGTTATATTCTAGGTTAATTTAGTATTTTTTATATTTTATATTTTATTATTTGTTTTAAATTTATAAAAATAACTTAAACTTAATATATTTAATATATATATATTAATTATATAAGAGTCTTTTTAAAGATTTAGGAAAATTAATATAACTTACTTTAAGACTTATATATAAGGTATTTTAATTATAATTATATTAATTTTCTTAAATTTTTAAAAAAATCTTATATAATTAATATATAAAAAAGTTATTTATATTATATATTTAAAGTTTTATATATAATATAATATAACTAACCCCTATTTATATTAATATTATACTAATATTTAGTTAATCCATTAAGTCTATTATATACTATATCCTATAACCTATTTAACCCTCTTTATATTACTAATATTATAACTTTAGGTTTTTAACTTTAGGCAACTAAACTTATATAAAACTTAATATATTTTCTTCCTATAAAACCCTGCAATTTGTCACAGCGCAAGACCAGACTAGGTTACCCTAGACCGACAGGCCAAGTGGA